AATGATGGGAAGAAGGAAAAGAGAGGGAAACCAATTTCCCCCCAACAATAAATTAGTACAGGAACCAGAGGGGAATGAAGAAAAGAGATGCCCAGATATAGACTCCAACAAAACGAAGTTAAACTATGCCAGAGAAACCAGTGAAGCCCACAAGAGCAACCTGAAAGAAGAAATCCTGCAAGTAGTCAATGAGAATTTTATGGAGATGATGCTGGTTATGGTCAACCAAAATGTACAGGAGACACTCAAGAAATTCCAAGACAGCAAAAATAGAGAATTTGAGAAAGCACAAGAACAAATAAAAGAAACTATAGAAGCACTGTATAAACACCAAAGTGAAAAAAAGAACACAATAAATAAAGAGATAAATGAACTCAGATCGAAAATAGACAATATTAAAGAGGAAGGGACTCAGGATATGTAAAACCTCAGAAAAAAGAATGAAATAGAAATGCAAAACAAAATAGAAGGCCAATCCAGCAGACTAGAACAAGCAGAAGACAGAATCTCAGAACTTGAAGATGAAATGGTAATTAAAGGAAAAACCAAAGATCTATTAGTTAAACAACTCAAGACCTGTGAAAAGAAAATGCAAGAACTTACTGGCTCTATCAAAAGACCAAATCTGAGAATCATTGGCATTGAAGAAAGAGAAGAGGTGCAAGCAAAAGGAATGCATTATATATTCAACAAAATAATAACACTAAATTTCCGAAATCTAGAGAAAACTAGTTCCAACAGATACAGGAAGTGTCCAGAACACCAAACAGACCTGACGAAAATAGAACTACCCCACCACATATTATCATAAAAACAAGAACAGAAATTAGAGAAAGAATACTGAAGGCTGTAAGAAAGAAAAAACAAATAACATACAAAGGTAAACCCATCAGAATCACAGCAGACTTCTCAACAGAAACATTAAAAGCAAGAAGAGCTTGGGGTGAGATCTTCCAGCTTGGGGTGAGATCTTCCAGGCACTGAATGCACATAACTTCAACCTAGGATACTCTACCCAGCAAAACTATCATTCAAAATAGATGGAGCAATAAAAGTCTTCCATGATAAGCAGAAACTAAAGCAATATATGACCACAAAGCTACCACTGCAAAAGATTCTTCAAGGAATTCTGCACACAGAACATGAAACCCAACATAACCATGAAAGGGCAGGCAGTACCAAACTACAGGAAAAGAAAAAGCAAGAAAGTAGAGAGTAACATCGATTTAGCTACACACATCAAGACCTCAAATAACTAAGATGACTAAATGACAGGAATCACCACATACCTATCAGTACTAACACTTAATGTTGATGGACTTAACTCCGTCATCAAAAGGTACCATTTGACAAACTGGATTAAAAAGGAAAATCCAACAATCTGTTGTTTCAGGAGACCCATCTCATTGACAGAAATAAGCATAGGCTTAGGATGAAAGGCTGGAAGAAGATTTACTAAGCCAATGGCCCTGAAAACAGGCAGGAGTAGCAATACTTATCTCTGACAAAGTAGACTTCAAACCTACATTGATCAAATAAGATAAAGAAGGACATTCCATAATAATAAAATGGGAAATAGACCAAAAGGAAATAACAGTTATCAAACTATATGCACCCAATGTCAATGCACCCAATTTCATCAAACATACCCCTGAAGGACCTAAAAGCATATATTAACTCCAACACAGTGGTCATGGGAGAATTTAACACCCCACTATCATCAATAGATAGGTCATCCAAACAAAAAAATCAATAAAGAAATCCTAGATCTACAATATACCAGAGATCAAATGGACCTAGTTGATGTCTACAGAACATTTAATCCAACTTCTACACAATATACATTTTTCTCAGCAGCCCACGGAACCTTCTCCAAAATAAATCATATCCTCGGGCACAAAGCAAGCCTCAGCAAATATAAGAAAATAGAAATAATCCCCTGCATTCTGTCTGATCAAAATGTATTAAAACTAGAACTCAACAGCAAAAACAACAGTAAAAATCATGCCAACAGTTGGAATCTGAACAACACATTGCTCAATGATCAATGGGTCATTGATGAAATAAAAGAGGGAATTAAAAGGTTCATGGAAGTTAATGAAAATGAAAACACGCCCTACTAGAACCTATGGGACGCAGCAAAGGCAGTCTTGAGAGGAAAGTTTATAGCTATGAGTGCATATATTAAAAAGCTGAAAGATCTCAATTCAATGACCTAATGATACATTTCAAATTCCTAGAAAAAGAAGAACAAGTAAATCCCAAAACAAATAGGAGAGAAATAATAAAATCAGTGAAATAGAAACCAAAAAAAACATACAAAGAACAAATGAAACAAAAAGTAGGTTCTTTGAAAAAATAAACAAGATCGATAGACCCCTGGAAAACTTGACAAAAATGAGGAGAGAAAAAACCCAAATTAATAAAATCAGGAATGCAAAAGGGGAGATAACAACAAACACCATGGAAGTCCAGGAAATCATCAGAGACCACTTCGAGAATCTATATTCAAATAAATTCGAAAATCTTAAAGATATGGACAGATTTCTAGATACTTATGATCATCTAAAACTGAACCAAGAGGACATTAATCACCTGAATATATCTATAACACAAAATGAAATTGAAGCAGCAATCGAGATTCTCCCTAAAAAGAAAAATCCAGGACCTGATGGATTCTCTGCTGAATTCTATCAGACCTTTAAAGAAGAACTGATACCAACCCTCCTTAAACTGTTGCACGAAATAGAAATGGAAGGAAAACTGCCTAACACATTTTATGAAGCCAGTATTACACTTATCCTAAAACCAGGCATAGACACCTCCAAAAAGGAGCACTATAGACCAATCTCCTTAATGAACATTGATGCAAAAATCCTCAACAAAATAATGGCAAACCAAATTCATAGTTCTGCCATTTGATCCAGCAATACCACTCTTGGGTATATACCCAAAGGTGAATGCGACAGAGGTTACTACAAAGGTACTTGTACACCCATGTTTATTGCAGCACTATTCACAATAGCCAAGTTATGGAAACAGCCAAGATGCCCCACTATTAATGAATGGATTAAGAAAATGTGCTATTTATACACAATGGAATACTACTCAGCCATGAAGAAGAATGAAAGCTTATCATTTGCAGGTAAATGGATGGAAGTGGAGAACATCATCCTGATTGAGGTTAGCCAGGCCCAGAAGACCAAAAATCATATATTTTCCCTCATATGCGGACTTTAGTTCAAGGGGAAACACAATAAGGGGATTGGACTTTGATCACATGACGAGGCAAGAGCACACAAGGGAGGTATGAGGATAGGCAAGAAATCCAATAAATAAATAAATAAATAAAACAAGACAGCATTTGATATCCTCAGTGCAAAGGAACTAATGCAGAAACTCTAAAGTGACAGAGGCCAATAGGAGAAGGGGACCAGGAACTAGAGAAAAGGTTAGTTTGAGAAGAATCAATTTAGAATGTAACACATATGTACAGGAAAGCAATGCGAGTATACTCCCTGTATAGCTATCCTTATGTCAACTAGCAAAAACCCTTGGTCTTTCCTATTATTGCTTATATTCTCTCTTCAACAAAATTAGAGATAAGGGCAAAATAGTTTCTGTCTGGTAGCGAGAGTGTTGGGGGTGAGAGGGAGGGGGTGGGAGAAGGGGGGAGAAATGACCCAAATATTGTATGCACATATGAATAAAAGAAATTAAAAAATCATCAACTCAACATACTGAACACCCAAAAAAATAAAATAAAATAAAGTATAGCGTGAACTCATAGAATAATATTAAACTTCAGAATACGCAGAGACTTTCAAGAATTCAGAGGGCCTTTACAAATGATATATGTACCATTGTGGTAAAAATGATGTGAAATTGTCTTAGGACAAATGTTAGTTGATATACTTAATATTAATTAATTATAGAAACACTATACAAATGCTATTTAATTTGATGAGTTCTATCTCAAGTTGACTTCTTAATTTGTGCTTCTTAAAGATTTTTTAGTGGAAGGATCCTCTGCACCCTTTGGAGTTGTGTATAAAATTAAATGTATATAAGCATAAATTAGCTTGGTAGAGCTGTTATAATAAGTACAACAAACTGGATGCCTTAAACAACAAAAACATGTTTTCTTGTGGTTCTAGAGGTTGAAATTCTGGAATCAAGATATTGGTAGAATTGGTTCCTTCTGAGGACTTTGACAGAAAAATCTATTTCAGGCCTCTCCCCTGAGCTTAGAAGTGGTTGTCTTCTCCTTGTGTATCCTCACATCATCTTTCCTCTATGCCTATCTGTCCCTCTCTGAATAACTCTTTTTCACAAGGACACCAATCATATTGGATTAAGGACCACTTTAATGTATTTATTTTTACTTGGGTACCTCTATAAATACCCTGTCTCCAAGTAAGGTCACATTTTTAGGTACTGGGTTTAGGACTCCTAAATACCTTTTTTAAAAAGGTAGAATAGAGGTATTATAATTCAAGTTGTATTAAAACAAATATACTGGTTTAGTGATCTTAATTTTTGTCATATTTCTCAATAGGGATCATGTTCCCAAAAAAGATTTGAACTATTGACCTAGGATAATGGTATTCATTACAGAAAAGATAGAGTAAGGGGAAAGTAGGGCCTGTAATGGATGAGATAATGAGATGAGAAGAGAAATTAGCAACATTCAAAGAGGAAGGTAAATCACTGATCTGTCAGTACACTGGACTGGAGAATCTGTCTAAAGCTGCACCATTCAATAAGGTAGCCACAAGCTGCATGAAACTTTTGAAGGCAGAAATGTGGTTAGTTCAAATTGAGATGTACTGTGAATATATACCATACACTGAATGTCAAAAACTTAATATAAAAAATGTAATATGTCTCATCAATATATGTTTATATTATATGTTAGAAAAATATTTTGAATATTTTAGTAGTTATATTAAATATTAATAGCTTTATCTGTTTCTTTTTTGTTTTCTTTTGTATTGCAGTGAATTAAAGACAGAGTCTCCTGTAAGCTAGGCAAAGCATTCCACCACTGAGCTACATCAATGCCAGCCTTTTTAAAATGTGGACAATAGGAAACTGTCCACATTTGTGACAATTTATATTGTGACACATTATATTTCTATTGAACACAGTCATCTTGATTTTCTAAAAAGGTTCATCTTATACATATTCTGTCGTTATAAATTTATATTATTGTGAAAAGAGGTCAAATTGTACTACCAAGTCTTTATAAAGCTTTTAATGTAAAGAAATATTTAAGTTATGAAATCTAAGTACTCATGTATGACCTTGAGTGTGGGCATACTTGATGTGTAATGTGATGCCTTGTTTTGTTTTTAATTCATTGTAGTAAAACCAACTTGAGAATGACTGGTTTATTTATTAGTATGTTGTAGGAAAGTGAATCCAAACATTTTCTTTGGTCCTGTAAAACTCTAACCATGACTGAGTTGAAACAAAGTGAATATAGTAATAATCTCTAAATCAGCTGAACATTGATAATGTAATATATTGAGTTATCTCTCCCTAATTGTGACAAGGAGCTCTACTACAAGCAGCACTTCTGGTCTTTCAAGTCAATTCATCAACATCACCTATATGCCACATTTAAGATCAAAAGTATAGGCAGCCTTACCAGTGATGAGGTTCTGGAATATTGCCAGACCACCAGCATTGATGTGATACTTGCTAAACTCTGAGAACCTGGAGATGTGTGAAGGATGGATATCAGCAGGCTTACTAGCAGATCTGAATGTATAGTGTATGAATGAGAACATTACCAAATAAAGTGGCCATATAAAAACTCAATGTGAGATCCTAAGTGCCAAAGTAAAGCTTGTAAAACTGAGCAATGCTAAGAAATAGTAAACCCAGTGACATTTAGGATTTTAATGGATATGATTTGTGGAGTAACAAAACATAAAAAGAACTTAGGGTATTGCTTATTACATTACTTTCTAAACCATTGTAATACCCATGTTATTTTTCTAATTTAAATGGATAACTTAGATGAAATCAAAAGTCATAACTTACTGAGCCTTGCTATGTAATAGGCTATGTATTCTGTTTTTCCTTCAGTCACATCAGTGTTTCAGAACATCTCTGTGAATTTATTTAGACAGGGTTCTCCATTTTTCTGTGATTCTCCTTATTATCTTAAATTTGACTCACTTCATTCATTCATGTCACTTCTGGAAGTGAGTCTGTGACTCCTGTAAAATGATTATACTGATGACAATGACAACTAATAGTATAGTTCTCCTTCAGTATCTACAGAGGATTGTGCCAGGAGTCCCCATGGATGCAAAAATTTGTGGGTGTTCAAGTCCCTTGTATATCGTGATTTAATATTTACACACAGCATGCACATTGCATCCACACAGTTGGGTCTTTGTAACTCAGGTTCATCATTCACAGATTCAACCCAGTATCAAAAGTATTTTGTAAAAAGATTTGCATCTGTACCAAAGATGTACAGACTTTTTCTTATGATTTCCCCTATATAATACAGTATAGCTATTTATATAGCATTTATTAGGTATTCAGAATAAATGCAGAGATGATTTAAAATAGAAAGAAGATATGTACATTGTATATAAATATTATAGTGTCTCATAAATGAGACTTGAGCATCTGAGGATTTTGCTATCATGGGGTACTATAATTACTCCACTGTGGATACTGAGAAATGACTGAACTTTAAATCACCTGTCATAAAGAGGGTTTAATGAGGTAGAATTAGATTTCTAATCTAAGTCACCTTGTGACATTTAAACCTTAGTGATAAACTTTCTTCATACAAAAACAAAATCCTGTCATGTTCAGAAATGAGTTGGCACTGGATGTCGATTTTAATGAACTTGCTTTCCCAGTTTGGGCAACATTTTCATCCATAAGGCCCTGTGATATCCTGCTCTCCCTATTTCTTTCTTTTTCTTTTTAGTATATAAAGGGATTTCATTGTGATAGTTCCATATATGTATATGATGTACTTTGATTAAAGCATCCCCATGATTATTCTTTTTTATCTCCCAACTCCTTTTTTTAAAATCAATTTAAATGAGTTTCATTATTCAATTTCCATACATGTTTGTCTTTGTAATTCAGGTTTATTTCTTGTAGGGAACTAATGGTTGGCTCTTGTGTTTTTAATCCAGCTCGCTAGTCTGTCTTTTGATTGGAGAATTGAAACCATTAATATTCAGAGTTATTATTGAAAGGTAAATAGTAACTCGTGCCCTTTTGTTGTTTTTGTAGTGTTTGATTCTTTCCCACTCCTCATTTGCTTATCTACTCATCTGGTAGGATTTATTTTTTCTCATATTTCCATGGTTGTGTTTATCTTCCTCTTAAGTATCTTCTGCAGCATTGCTTTAGTGGTCATAAATTCCTTTAATTTATTTTCTTATGGAAGGTTTTTATTTCTTCTTCAATTATGAATAATAACTTCTCTGGGTAGAATAGACTAGCTCAGTAGTTATTTTCTTTCAGAACTTGAAATACATCATTCACGCCTTCCTTCTGTGTAAGATTTCTTTGTGCAATCTTCTGTTATTCTGACTAATCTGCCTTTATAAGTAATTCTCCCTTGCAGATTTTAATATTCTTTCTTTCTTCTCTATACTTCATATCTTAACTATAATATGATGTGGGGAGGTTCTATTATGGTCTTGTCACTTTGGAGTCCTACAGGCTTCCTGTAACTGAATGGGCATGTTGTTTTCAAGATTTGGGAAGTTTCCTGCTTTTACTTTATTGAATATGTTTCATATGCCTTTAGCTTTTGCCTCTTCCACTTCTATGCTCATGATTCATAAGTTTGGTCTTTTATCAGAATCCCAGAGTTCTTGTATATTCTGTTTGTACTTCATTCTTTTTTCTTTATCTTCATCTGATTTTTCTTCAAGCCCTGATATTTTGTCTTCCATTTGATCCAGTTTCCCATGGAGGCTTTCAGGTGAATTTTTTATTTGACTTAAGAGCTTTTCATTTCCAGAATTATAATTTGATATGTTTTCACTATTTCTATTTCTTTATTGAATTCCCCTTTCATTGTCTTCCTTATTTCATTTAGTTGTTTATTTGTATTCTCTTTGAATTCATGCACATTCTCTTTCAATGATCATTCTTATCATCATTCTGTTGAGTTTATTATTTGAGATTTTATTCACTTCACTATTACTCAGATTCTTCTTCATGATTATGGACTTTTTGAGGTGTCATGTTGCCTTGTTTTTTGTTTTTGTTTTGTTTTTACCTTTTTTGTGTTTCTTTGTTGAGATTTCTCTAGTCTGAAGTCAAGTCATTTGTTGCAAGTTTTAATCACCTAAAATCTTTCAGTTCAATTACTCTCTATGTTATGGCAGAGCTGGGTAGTGGCAAGATTAATGTGCCATTTCTTACCACTGGCCTTGGCATTAATAATAAATACACCAATTTAAAATGAATCCAAGTATTTTCATGAAGTAAAAAAAGCATTAGCAACATCATCTACACCAGCAGTTATATTATGTATGAAAGATACAAGTTTTCTTACATGGTACAGTAGAGGTTTGAAAATTATTCAGGTAGGATTTAAAAATTAGGCAGTAAAATTAAGAGGATGAGGGAAGAAAGAAAATGAGGAGAAAGGGAATAAAGTGTGTGGGCTGAAGGTAAACAGAATAAGAGTGTTCAGGAATTTAATAATTATTGTAGAGAAAGCTGTTTTAGTCAGGTATTACAAAGGCATAGAAAAATGAAAAATAATAAAAAAAGATAGAATAAATTTTCAATAGAAAAAAATTTAAAAAGAAATAAGAAAAATAAAAGCAGTGCTTTTTTGTTGAGGAGAAGACTGTATACTTGCTGAGCTCTGTCAGTGCAAAGGATGTTCTTTTCCAACCTCTGCTCCTCAGCATTCTTTCTACAGATCTCATGTTTACTCATCTATCCCCTCATGGTCTGAGGATGTCTGGGATTCTCCTCTGAGTGCAGACTGGTGTGGTATTCCATTGTTGGTTAAGATTCTGGACCAGGGGCAGTGACTGGAATGAGTTAGGGCAGGTACTGTGGACTAGCAGCAATTCCCAGGGGTTAGGCTGCTCTGCAGGGTTCTAGTAGAGGTGGACAGTTTCAGATGTGTGATGTAGCAGTTGGAGGAGGGTGATGGTCTCTGAGCACAGCTAGTGGGTTAGGGAGTACTTTGCCAGGTGTACTCACTCTCAAAGTTTACACTTTGCCCTACGTAGGAGACACAATAGCAGCTTGGCTTGTCTTCTTTTTTTCCACTTTCCACATAGGCTTGCAGCTTAATATTTCCTTTGCAAAGTGAAGGGTGAATAACTCTTATTGCTTGTTCATATACCTATGCTGCTGAGTTGGGCCATGGGTTCAGGCTGTAACCAGCCAGCTTACTTGTTCTGGTGCCCATCCTTTGGCTTATGTAAGGGTGCTAGTCATTGAGGATCTTCACCTGACCTTTATACTGGAGCAAGGTGTATGCGCCTCTAGACAGCCCGCATTGCCAAGAGAATTTGTTGTGTACAGCTTTATTTACTTATACACACAGTGTTCAGAGTGATGTAGCTGGTTAGAGGGAACTCTTAACTGGTTTGCTCACTCCAGCATCTGCCCTGTGTATTGTGGGAACCCAGGTGCCATGTATCTTCACTCCACCACTGAATCAGAGTATGACCAGAGAATGGTATGAGGGCATCTGTTCAGCTCTGCTTCTCTCTATAGAGAGACCTGTGGCCACTGCATTTAAGTATACATTCTAGGCTGGGTGGTGGTCTTAGGGATGTGCCCTGCTAGGGGAAAATCTGCCTGGCCTGCTCACTTCCATACCCGCTCTTTGCGTTTGGCAAGGTACATACATAGTGATAGGTCAGCTTCTGTCCAGTGGCCAGGAAAAGGCTTACTAGCCTACACTTTGCCTTCTGTACAGTTGTTTTGTTCTCAGAGTGGTATATGCAGGAAGTTCTTGCTATAAGCAAAACAAACCAAAACAGAAAAACAAAAAAAAAAAAACCAAATAAACAAAACCTGGGCTGAAATGGTCAGGGAGATCCAGTCCTACTTCTGAGGCAGTTCTGGGCTCCACCTGGGCAACATTTTCTCTGTTTCTTTTTTTCTTTCTCTATCTTTGTTTCTTTTATAGATATAAGGTTTTGTATACTTAAATTTTTTTCTCTTTCATCTATTGTCTAGTCTTTTACTTGTGCCTACCCCTGACTTACTAACTTATTCACCTTTTCATGTAGCCTTGTACCTGTTCTTCCCTCCCCTCCCCCCCAGTTTGTGGTGACACAGGAATGTGGTATGAATCTGATATCTTCCTCCCATTCTCTTTCTCTCTACTACCTATCACTGGGGTAGAGTTTAAGAAGTTGAGGCAGAACTGGAAATGATATCACAGTAAGAATGGGAACTTTAAAATTTTTTATTGTATGAGATGAACTTGACTTATGAGACAATGACATATGCTGTGGTTCTCTCAGGAACTGTGATACCTACAAGATGCACTAAGTAAAATTATGCAAGTCAGCTTGAATTCTTTTTTTTATTATATCATCATGACCCCAAGATTGCTGGGACTAGTAACAATCATAGTGATGATATGAGATCAGGGGTGGTTTCAAGAATGGTTAACTCAAAAAGCAATGATGGATTCTGAAGAAGCTATCTATCCTGCTTTAAATGCATTTATAAGAAAAAAGTTAAAATTCAGTAGAAACAGTAAGATAAATTTGAACCAGAGAAATATCTTTAGAGAAGTGATCTTTATTTCACTTCAACTGTTCTCTAAGAAACAAACCACTTAACTATTTTTTGTTAAAGATGACTTTTCCAAAGAAATTTGGAAAACAATGAGTTAATAAAAATTGAACATGTTTGTTTACTTATAAATTATTCATTCGTTAATATAGCAATTAATATGCAGCTTCACTTTCACTGAATTAGGAACATAGCAGGACATGCACCATTTTCCACATTTCAATGTTAGCATTATTAAAAAGTTAATTAATTTCCAGCAGAACATTAG